TTTAATTTAGCTTTAATTTTTTGGGAGGTAGTCTCTTTTATAATAATAAGATTTCCTCACCAGATGAACACACGTTCTCTTTCTGTTTTTCTCCCATTCTGGAGCTGTCCCAACTTCAGCAGCTTCAATGGCTACGCTTCTGTCTCCGGCAAAAAGAGATTCTCCTGGATCAATTAGGGACTTTGCAGTGCCCCTGAGATCAGCAGGATGTACTCTTCCCTATCACCGTCTCTTCGGGACAGTTTAGGTCCAAAAGGACCGTCCAGTGGCAAAAGTATCGACTGCGATCTTGGAGCTCCAAGATCGCACGGTGTCATTGTGATGTCAGCTCCACCTCCCAATGTGGAAATTGCATGGTTAATTTTCCTGGTGAGTTGTTCTTATGGTGCATTTATTCAACCATGACTTCTGATGCATACAACTACATTTGCTTGACCATTTTAAAGAAATCTTTTTGGAACACATTGTCTCATTTAAATACTTTTTAAATATTTTGGCATGGTAGTCTCAAAGCAGATTAGGAAACTGTACAATGAAGAATTTTGGAAATCTGATTCTGGGGCATAGTATAAAATAGATAATACAACATTTCTTTGCAATCTTCTTTCAAGTTAGCGTCAATATTGTGAGGTGGTGGTGGTAATAGTCTCCTTGAAGAACAAATAGGACTCCAGCCTTTTCACACTTTAAAAAAAATCCCATAGATGTGTTTGAAAAGGAAAATCTTCTATTGGAAATTAGTTCATTCTGCACTAGGCAAATACAAAGCATGAGACACAAAATGGAAGTGTGAAACATGTCCTTTTATGTTCCATTTGATAATTTGAGAGGCACGCTGATGGAAAATATTAATGGAAAACATACTGAATAGAAAAAAAAGCATTCAGTATTGTCTGTCCCTTAAAAAACAACAATCCTGTATATTTTCTTTACCTACGAATGTTATTCTGGTTCTGTCAGCCTCTCAAGTAGAAAACACAAGATGAACTACTTTAAGGGTACATTCACAGAATCTTGCATGTCGGAAAGTACATGCTGTCTTATTTTACCAACTTGTAAGTTAGGACAGCTCCTTTCTAAAGGTTTTTTCTCTGCTCATTACTGTTGTAGGCTCCTTCCCCTTTATCTGATTCTTCCCTAGGCAGTTTCTCTTCTCCCATCCCCAGGTCATTCTCACATTCCACTACTACAGGCTCGGTCTACACCTGATAAATTTACCCCATCATATGGTCCCTGTTCCCTATCATTCATGACCCACCCCGCCAATCTGGACTACTGCAATTGCTCTACATGGGCTTCACTTGAAGAGAATTTGGAAGCGAAATGCAGCAGCATAGGCAGGAAATAGTGTCGGTTACTAATGCCACTACCTGAGCTGCACTGGTCACCAGTGTGCTTCCGGGAGCAATTCAAAGTGCCAGTTGTCTCCTTTAAAGCCCTTCATTGCTTGGAGCCTGGCTATCTGAGGGATTGTTTCGCCTGTTTCTACTCATCCAATCTGGTCAGGCAGGCTGGGCATGTTCCAGGTACTGTTGATCAGGGAATGCTGGCTCATGCCTAAAGAGTCATGATTTTTCTGTATTAGCACTCACTCTATAGAATAGGGGTGTCAAACTCGCAGCCCGTAGGCTGAATGTGTCATGTGTTGGCTCTGCCCCCAGCCAGATTAGCAAAGGGGGGGGGGAAAGTCCCGATATATCACATGACACAGCCATGACAACACTCCTGCTCTAGAACATTCTCCCTTCATAGAATACCAAATATCCTGTTAGCCTTTCATAAGGCACTGAAGGGCTGGGGCACTGAGGGTGTTATAGGTCTTGTCTCTTTGTCAACAACCATTAGTTCTGGTATTTTTTTGTATTTAAATGTTTGTATCTCCAAAAAGCATGTTTTTAAGATCATAAACACCATTTGCAATCTATGCTTACTTGCTGAGAAGGGCAGCCATACAAGTCAAAGAAATAAATATTAAATGGCAGAATTGTAGGGAAACCATTTTCATGGATAAACAAGTATAGTACAAAACTTTTCTGATCCTGTAGATGTGTTCGCTGTCATTAATTAAAAAAACCTCCAAGAACCTTAATACCAGCACCGCAATTCTGCTATTGTCTTATTTTGTTGCCCGGTTTGGGCAGGGAAAAAACCTTAATCATCCTGACACGTTTTTCTTCTGTTTTTTTTTTTTTAAACAGAAAAAGTTAGCTGCATTCAATAGAACGATGTGATCACTTACTTGTTGGGAACTTGTGAAATACTAGAGGTTGTGAACTTGAGCTTCTAACAGCTTCAGTCAGCGTGGCCAGTGGTGAACTCTGCTGAAATGATGATTTAGCAACGCTTAGGTTAGTCACTATCCTTCCCTTTAAAATATTCTTATCCCCTACTTTTAAAACATCATTTATCACTTATTATGCATATTGATTTTGTAGCTTAGTACTTATATTAAAAATGCACATATGTATTATCTAGTGCTGTGCACTCATGCATTGATAGAAATGAGGAAGGAGTGAATGAGACCTGCTCAAAGCAAGATGATTTTCTTATGGAAAATTTCAGCTTGTGGAGCAAGTGGAAAAGTACCAGGATAAAAATTTGTAAGATACAAGAAGTGACTCTCAAAACACAAAGCGCTTCTCAGAATAAGATGATTCCTGTATGATATGGTTTGAGATAGCATGCAAATTTAAAAACACCTGGAAGTGTGAGAGAGGTACCAAACTGTAACTAGCCACGCCTAGCCATGAATAAAAATGGACAGGAAATATACTGTTTTTAGAATTTTCTACAGAACAAGTTTCTTCTGGAACTCTAACTTGGCTCAACAGACTTTGAGTCAGGTACATTATGCATGTGTGCATGAAATGCGAGTAATAAATCTTTTGGCTGAAAAAAAAAGTTACAAGTGCTGCATTTTTCAAGTATCCCTACAGAAATAAAACAAGCAATAGTACAAGAAGTGTCATAAAGATTCTCTTTATGCCAATATGGCAGAGTTACAACTACACTTCCCTCATTTCCTTGTTGACAAACTGATCGGGCAGGCTCTGAATATAGATGATGAGGAATCCAACCTACTTACATCTTTGCCTCATTTGATCCTCTCCAGCTATCCTTAGCCTGCAAGTTCCATGACAACTTAGTCGAGCAATTCTGAAAAAGTGACCCATGGTACTTACGCGCAACATACACTTGCAACCCACATCTATTACCATGCTCTTACTCTTCAACTGGGATAATCGCAATCATATTTTGCTTCCACAATCCCCCCCCCCAAAAAAACCCCAACCCCAACCTATTGAGGATATGTACTTAGGGATGAAACTCAGAGCCCAATTAAGATAAATTAATTCAACTGTAGTGAAAGCTGGAATTAACTGAACTTTTATTAAAGATGGCACCTGATCATCTACCTAAGCCCGTAAGTTTAGAACAGCATGCTTATATAAATTTCATTTCCAGCTGGTGTAAATTATCTTTGTAGCATAAGCAGACACAAGTTAAGAACAATTTTTATATGTGAGCCAGATTGCAGTAAAAGTTTAATTTTGGCTATTTTCTGCCCTTTTCACTATTAAATATATTTTCCCTTGCATACAAACTTGACTTGTGGACAGAAGAATAATGATACATCAATTATACAAGAAATACAATTATTAACTCCTTGATATAAATATGTAAAAAAACAAGAGCATTCATAGTGTTTTTTGAATACAAAGTGAAATTCGTGAGAAAGCTAATACTGTTTCCCAAGCCACTCTATTACCACACCCATCGTTCTGTAGTAGGCCTGATGCTATTTGATGGTATTTGAGAAACTTGTACATAGTTACTTTCAGATAAATGCACATGCAGTGATCAGGATACTTTCATAGTTCATACAACCAGTTTATGCCACTTGCTCTATTTTCTATCCATACTCAACATGAAGCAATGAAAGAATCCTTTCTCTCCAAAACAAATTTGGAGATATGATATTTGGGAAAGTACACACACAGAATATGTGTAGACAAGTTGTGAAGAGTTCATCGTTTAGATAGATGCATTCTGCCTACTGAATGGCAGCACTGCACACAAGTCTAATGTGAAACAACATATACCTGCCATACACTCTACTTTTGATACCAAAGATGTGCACTACCAAAAGTTGTTCTTTCATAAGCTTCCAATACCATAAGTTCAGGTAAAACCGATTCATGCCTCAATTATATCTATACCAAATAAACATTTTAAAATGCACAATGCTTCAGATGGTGTGCCAAGTTAAAATCTGCATTTTTATATAAAGCATTTATTAAAAATAAGTTTGTAAAAAATAAGAATCAAGATATCTGTACAGTAGTTGAGCACAAAAGAAACATGTTTTGTAAAATAAACAAACAAAAATAATAAACATATTAAAAAGCCTATTTACAAGACTGTAATTGGAATCTGTCGCTAATGGCTGCCATTGCACTAATTCCATTGACTGACTGGGTTTCTGATAAAATGCCTGGAATAACATTTGGTAAAGTACTTCTTAAACATTTTATATACTTGTACTGTGTTCTTTGAATTTCTGTATTATAAAATTTAAAACCTTGAATGAGAACGATAGTCTGACTTCTTATCAGGATTAAATGATACAAATCAGAACAGAACAGAACAGAACAAAACAGAAAAGAAGTAATGATCAATATAGATAAAATGTCTGACCATGTATTTGAAACTAATGCATCGGCAAACACAACATTTTCTTCTATGGGATTATGAAAAGGGGTTCCTCAGATACAATCAGACAGATGCTCTGCATCTGGGTGGGTTCGGTATCTATGCTGAAAGACTGGAGCTGCAATTTATCTACACCTTTAGATATTTCCATATGACTAACACTTTTTATCTAATCCCCCTGCCAAAATTGGGTAGCAATTGCTATAAAATATACATGGAAACAATATCCTATTGTATTTAGCAACTGTGTTATGATTCCCAACAGGTTAAGAAAAACCTTCCTAATACATTAATATTATGGTAATGTGAAAATATTTCCCTTCGAAATTGTGCATTTGGAAAGCAGAGTGAAGCTTGTGATGCTTCAGATTCACAAAAAAAGTTGTAGGAACATCTCTCCATTTTAATTGTTTTAATAGCTGGAAGGACTAGCATATTTAGTCAATTTGTGCAGTGATTTGCAATATGGCAAAATTTCAAATGTCTGATTTTTTCCAATGTGCTCGGTGCACATTCTAATACTGAAGTACTTGAATCAGCCATATCAATGTCCTTATTTCAGACCTTATTTGTTGTAGCATATGGATCCTGAAGTATCATATATTAATTGTCTGATTAGAGAGAAAAACGTCTATAGTTCAGCCTTCAGTCCCACAGTTTAATGAGGCCATCCCATCCACAAGTGATCACTTTGGATGTTTCATGTGGGTGCCACACTGCCCCAATGCAGACTTTGTCATGGGCTTTTAATCTACTGTAGAGTTTTGTTGTCTTCCAGTCCCAGATATTTAACTTTCCATCTGCATCACCTGAGGTCACATAGCTATTTCAAAAAAAGAAAGAAAGAAAGAAAGAAAGAAAAAATTATGCATGGACGTAATTTACAAAATAATTTTTAAACAAAATCAATTCAGAACAATAGCATACATTTTAATGGAGAACAGATAGACCTTTCCTATAGTTTTATAGTCTGTAGATTTTCTACTACTCTTAGCTGCTTTGATGTCCCAATGTATATTGTTAAAATGGGAAAACACAACAATGCAGCTGCTTCAAAAATGTAGGACACTTAATCAGAGTTTTCTCAAATAAACAGAAAGGCAGGATAGTCACCTAATCCGTAACATCAGATGATCTATTTTGGCAAAAATGTTCACAACAAAGCAACCTATTCAGCTCTGTATGGAGGGTTTAAATTATACTGAAAACCAGGTGTAGTTCTGGCTGTAGAATGCAAAATCATACATAATGATTTTGCGATGCCCAATTTTATTTCTAAGCAATAATAAAAATGGGAGGCTTGTATTTGTAACTTTCTGATACCACCTCCGAGTAAATGCATACTGGTGGGATTTTGTCTGATATGGATTTTCAATTACTGCTTGAAAGGCCTTCTTGGAGTGGAATAACACAACAGCTCTGTGCCTCAAGGCTTGATTCTCTTCTGACTCCTATAAAGCCACTGAATGAGGTCATTTGTCATTATGGGTCTATGTAGATCATATGCTGATGATACGCCATTATACATCTCCGCCCCAACTATTCCAAGTAATACCATTTAAAGTCTTTCCTAAGGACTGTATAGGGAAAATCAGGCTTCGACTCAACCTAAATAAGGCTGAGTAGATATGGTTTTAGAGTAGCCTATCCTGAATTTCCATCTTTAATGGGATGGGATAGTATTATGCCCCTAGACAGAGCTGATACATTCAAGGAACAGTTTGTTGCCATGGTCAGAAGGCCTCTACAGAAATCCATCCTGTGTGCCAAATGTGCCCATTCCTGGATCAAGAGTCTCTGCCCCTCAGTCACTCATGTCATGGTTACTTCCCACTTGGATTACTGCAATGAGGCCTACGTGGGGCTGCCCTTGGAAAGCATCTAGAAATTACAGCTACAATTCTGAATGCTGCAATGCACGCACTGTTGGACACACCATAGTATACTGACAGGCTGAGTATGCTCCAGATTCTGTCTATCAAGCAATGCCAACTTGTTCAGGCTGGGGGGGGGGTCACACCTTCCCTGTTCTATGGAACAGCTCCATCCTGAGATTTGGATGCCCAATCTTGCTGGCTTTCTGGAGGGCTATGACTTTTTCCCTCAGTGGCTGTGGCCAGAAAGTTTTACTAGCTGCCTAAAGTTATTTGTTAAGGTGGATGGCTGTATAAATTTAATAAATAAATACCCCCTTCTTTCCCTCTGTATTTCTCATAGTAAATTCAGATGGATATTTTGGTCATCACAGGAATGTCTGAAATTAGCCCATGGGCCAAAAAAAGGCTGTCCAAATTCTGCAGGATATCCATATAGTACACAGTTTGATAAGCTGCTGTAGCCCAAAGACCAAATCTCAAGTTCACTAATTAGGGTATATATAAAGATAAAGATTCCCCTCACACATATGTGCTAGTCGTTCTCAACTCTAGGGGGCGGTGCTCATCTCCATTTCAAAGACGAAGAGCCAGCATTGTCTGAAGACATCTCCGTGGTGATGTGGCCGGCATGATTCAACACCAAAGGGACACAAAACGCTATTACCTTCCCACCAAAGGTGGTTCCTATTTTTCTACTTGCATTTTTTACGTGCTTTTGAACTGCTAGGTTGGCAAAAGCTGGGAGAAGTAACGGGAGCTCACTCCGTTATGTGGGGCTAGGGTTTCGAACTGCCAAACTGTCGACCTTTCAACAAGCTCAGCGTCTTAGCCACTGAGCTGCCGCATCCCTAGGGTATATGTAGTAGCCCAATAATATGTATTAAGGACTTCTACATACAGAAAACATTTGACAATTATATGGCAGGTTTATATGAATATATCTCTCTACCTGTGGAGCCAAACTTGAAAATAAAAACAAAAGTAATATGTAATCCATATTATGTATATAGAAACAGTAGAATATATACCTCATATCAGGTGAAAAATCTACTTGGCAAGCGTAACCTGCCACCATATGACCTTTGAAGATTTTCTTTTTGTTTAGCCTAAATCTGTTTTGAGCTCCAAAAATCAAAATCTGATTGTCCATTGATTGACAGGCAAGCCATTTTCCTGTTGAGATAAAATATTAACGCACACATGAATCTCCTACTTCTCATGGATTTTAAGAATCAAACGTTCTTATAACATATAAAATGTAAGCTACAGATACCTAAGAAATTGTTTGCTGAGGGCAAACCCCTGCAATTTTACCAGCTTGATCCCAACATTAGATTTACTAGGATTTCTGACATTGCTGGTTTAACATACAGTGTAATTGTCAAGAATTCAACTTGCAAATTGACATCCAAAGAAGATACGGACCATATAGCAAAGGTGAATAACTTGAAATACAAGGAAAAAGTCAATACTGATACAAGAAAAATAGCTGTCAGGGCAAAAATCAAACAAGGGAAATATGGAAATCAGTCTGATAATGAGTGCAGGATTACCAGCATTTAAAGTAACGAACCAAGAAAGCTAGCTTCCATTTTGCCTCGAAATGTATTTTTTTGCTTTTGTCAGATGTTATAGAAGTGTTCAAATACTTGAAGGGCTGTCACAGAGAGGAGGGGGGGCTGCCTATTTTCCAAAGCACCTGAAGGCCAGACAAGGATTAATGGATGGAAACTGATCCAAGNTGTCCTTATTTCAGACCTTATTTGTTGTAGCATATGGATCCTGAAGTATCATATATTAATTGTCTGATTAGAGAGAAAAACGTCTATAGTTCAGCCTTCAGTCCCACAGTTTAATGAGGCCATCCCATCCACAAGTGATCACTTTGGATGTTTCATGTGGGTGCCACACTGCCCCAATGCAGACTTTGTCATGGGCTTTTAATCTACTGTAGAGTTTTGTTGTCTTCCAGTCCCAGATATTTAACTTTCCATCTGCATCACCTGAGGTCACATAGCTATTTCAAAAAAAGAAAGAAAGAAAGAAAGAAAGAAAAAATTATGCATGGACGTAATTTACAAAATAATTTTTAAACAAAATCAATTCAGAACAATAGCATACATTTTAATGGAGAACAGATAGACCTTTCCTATAGTTTTATAGTCTGTAGATTTTCTACTACTCTTAGCTGCTTTGATGTCCCAATGTATATTGTTAAAATGGGAAAACACGACAATGCAGCTGCTTCAAAAATGTAGGACACTTAATCAGAGTTTTCTCAAATAAACAGAAAGGCAGGATAGTCACCTAATCCGTAACATCAGATGATCTATTTTGGCAAAAATGTTCACAACAAAGCAACCTATTCAGCTCTGTATGGAGGGTTTAAATTATACTGAAAACCAGGTGTAGTTCTGGCTGTAGAATGCAAAATCATACATAATGATTTTGCGATGCCCAATTTTATTTCTAAGCAATAATAAAAATGGGAGGCTTGTATTTGTAACTTTCTGATACCACCTCCGAGTAAATGCATACTGGTGGGATTTTGTCTGATATGGATTTTCAATTACTGCTTGAAAGGCCTTCTTGGAGTGGAATAACACAACAGCTCTGTGCCTCAAGGCTTGATTCTCTTCTGACTCCTATAAAGCCACTGAATGAGGTCATTTGTCATTATGGGTCTATGTAGATCATATGCTGATGATACGCCATTATACATCTCCGCCCCAACTATTCCAAGTAATACCATTTAAAGTCTTTCCTAAGGACTGTATAGGGAAAATCAGGCTTCGACTCAACCTAAATAAGGCTGAGTAGATATGGTTTTAGAGTAGCCTATCCTGAATTTCCATCTTTAATGGGATGGGATAGTATTATGCCCCTAGACAGAGCTGATACATTCAAGGAACAGTTTGTTGCCATGGTCAGAAGGCCTCTACAGAAATCCATCCTGTGTGCCAAATGTGCCCATTCCTGGATCAAGAGTCTCTGCCCCTCAGTCACTCATGTCATGGTTACTTCCCACTTGGATTACTGCAATGAGGCCTACGTGGGGCTGCCCTTGGAAAGCATCTAGAAATTACAGCTACAATTCTGAATGCTGCAATGCACGCACTGTTGGACACACCATAGTATACTGACAGGCTGAGTATGCTCCAGATTCTGTCTATCAAGCAATGCCAACTTGTTCAGGCTGGGGGGGGGGTCACACCTTCCCTGTTCTATGGAACAGCTCCATCCTGAGATTTGGATGCCCAATCTTGCTGGCTTTCTGGAGGGCTATGACTTTTTCCCTCAGTGGCTGTGGCCAGAAAGTTTTACTAGCTGCCTAAAGTTATTTGTTAAGGTGGATGGCTGTATAAATTTAATAAATAAATACCCCCTTCTTTCCCTCTGTATTTCTCATAGTAAATTCAGATGGATATTTTGGTCATCACAGGAATGTCTGAAATTAGCCCATGGGCCAAAAAAAGGCTGTCCAAATTCTGCAGGATATCCATATAGTACACAGTTTGATAAGCTGCTGTAGCCCAAAGACCAAATCTCAAGTTCACTAATTAGGGTATATATAAAGATAAAGATTCCCCTCACACATATGTGCTAGTCGTTCTCAACTCTAGGGGGCGGTGCTCATCTCCATTTCAAAGACGAAGAGCCAGCATTGTCTGAAGACATCTCCGTGGTGATGTGGCCGGCATGATTCAACACCAAAGGGACACAAAACGCTATTACCTTCCCACCAAAGGTGGTTCCTATTTTTCTACTTGCATTTTTTACGTGCTTTTGAACTGCTAGGTTGGCAAAAGCTGGGAGAAGTAACGGGAGCTCACTCCGTTATGTGGGGCTAGGGTTTCGAACTGCCAAACTGTCGACCTTTCAACAAGCTCAGCGTCTTAGCCACTGAGCTGCCGCATCCCTAGGGTATATGTAGTAGCCCAATAATATGTATTAAGGACTTCTACATACAGAAAACATTTGACAATTATATGGCAGGTTTATATGAATATATCTCTCTA